CGCCCTCTACCGTCTCCGGCGCTCCCCACGTTCCACGCTACCGATTTTCAATAATTTTCAAGTGACACGCGCCGCGTCCGCAGTGACGGATGTACATGGCCGAGCGGCGCGGCAGCGATCCGATCAAGGAAACGACTGAATTGCCAACACGCACATTCGTTCGGGGGACGAATCCGCGTCATATATTTCGGATATAGGCTGAGTGTACAGTGTCGCGGGCAACGTAACTCGCCAGCTGATCCCGAGTGACAAAATACGGCCAGCGCGCCGGCGGCCCGTGGCAATCGTCTCGGCCGCGATAGATTCGCGTGGCCGCATAAAGCTCGCTGAAACGGCTTTTACTGCCGAACGAGCGTATTAATGACGCTCACGATAATGTCGAGCGAGTCTCGCTCCCTGGCGCTGTCGCACGATTTCTCCCCCGCGATTTATATGCGCCAGCGCGAATGCCCGAAAGTATCCGAGCCCGCGGCAGGGGCCCCCTCTCAAATTGTTTTTGATGCGACGAAAGCAGCGCAGTTGGCGAGTGCTTCGCCTGCGCATTGCGACGGGCTCGATTGATATTTCATCAGCTCCTCCCGTGATTACCTTTCGTTTAAGATTCTCTCGCAAGAGGATGGCCAGTAACGCGTCATCGCTCGAAGCGCTTCGAAGCGCTGAGCCTTTCTATCGGGCGAGCGCCGAGCGGCACATTCCCCGTCGTACAAAAAGCATATTCCGTGAGATAGAGGGTGAATCGAGAGTGAACCGACTGCGGATCACTCGGTCAGGTAATCGAGTGCGGGCCAGACGGATGGGCAGCCTCAAATACGCAGTGAGACGCGTTCACTTTCCATTGCTGCGAACAGGCAGGCAGGCGGGCTCGTGTACGCAGGCAAAGGCAAACGAGAGCCGACAACAGTTCGGAGCAGCAGACGCAGTAGCAGGCTTTGGATCGGCAAAGCGCTCGGCGGTTGGCCTACGGCACAGAGCTCGCGATAACATTGACGGAAAGGCTGCTGCGGGCGTTATGGGTCGATATTCATCTTGCAATTTGGGCGTGCGCGCAGGCAGCAGCAAAATGTTGGCCGGGCGCCATGGCTGCAGGCTCGCGGCCGAGCCGCATCGACCAGCGACAACTTGACCGAAAGAGTTATCGTAGCTGGCTGCACGCGCAAGCCCGCCTCGACGTGGCTCGTGCTGGCGGCCGGCTTCGACTCGCGCCGAAGCGCGAGGCCTGCTAGCAGCTGCCCTCGCCTCTTCCCGGCCCGGGCGGCCAGCCGACTGGACTCGCGAGCTCGCGAGAGTCCGGCGCCGCACGCGCACTCGTACGACTCGCCGCGATCGGCCTTCGTTTGCCCGCAGCGGTGCTTGGTGCGTTTCCAAGCGGATTAAACGGCTCGTCCTACTCGAAGCGATCGACCTACTCGATTAGAGAATCATACTTTTTAAACGTATACGAAGAACGAGTCAGTTGCGGTCAGGCTGGTAACGAGTACCGTCTTTTTTCCGATTTTAACGTAAAATACTTCAAACGGACTTTGGCACGTACCCCTGCGAGCCCTCATTTGCCGTGGCTTGCTTGCCTGCACACCCCTGCTATAGCAACCCTCCGTAATCAAATCCTACCCTAACCGCTCGAGCCGCTCACTTTCGTACCCGCACACTCGGCCATGCCGCGCGAAAGGAATGTTAATGCGACAATGCTCTACTCCTCCTTTCCCACTCCCGCAACGTACCTTCGCAAGTTTTCATTGTTCTCGTTCCTGCTCTTCTCCAATCCCTTTCCACTCTACTAACTCTCTCTCTCTCTCTCTCTCTCTCTCTCTCTCTCTCCACGTTTCTGCGCGCAGTCGAATCAAATGCATTAGGCCCCGCGCGAATCTCCCTAGGATTCCCTCGATTTTCTACCATCTACTGCTTCTTTACTGGTTCTTTTTCATACCCCTCGAAAACCTTCCATAGTTTCGTGTTCTGAGCTCATGCTTTCGATGTCAAAGCGTATGTAAATTGAATTGAAAGCTTATCCAACACAGCCGTTAATTTAGCATACGAAACAAATTTACTTTAGATTGGCTTACGAAAAAAGCTATATTCGCTTTAATCCGTCGCCAACTTCATTATCTAATTATAAATTAGTCGTAGCAATGTATCAGATGGAGCATGGTTCTCGAGATTCGTTTAATTGTGGAGTTAATAAGAAACTATATTTCTATTCCTTGTATAATCATTATCTCGAGCGTATAACAACCACTTGCTTTGGATTCATTTGTATGTCGATGCAAAGCTAACGCGTGGCGTTCTACTCGCTGATCGAGAGCTATTCTAAAACTATCTTAAATGGAAGGGAAAGAGTGGAAGGCTCCCGTGCGCGCGTGAGCACAGAAGTGCACTGCAACGTTAAGCTCTAAAAAAATTGATCGAAGATGCAAATGATGAAAAAAATGGAGAAGGAGGGTGAGGAGGGAAAAATTAAAAGTAAGTAGAAACCGAACATAGATGTATATGAAGTCCCGCGAGGCCCATATGCAGGCATCGAGCCCCGAGCGCGCGGGAAGCAGGCAAAGGACTAGCGGTTAGTTGGAAGTGAAGCGGTGAAAGGGTAAGTGGCTTTATGAATTTCGGAGTTGCACGTGTAGTATAGGTGTGCGCGTAGACCTACGAGTAGTCGGAGCCTTTCTCGGTTGAGCGCGCGAAGGACTGGATTAAAATTCCACGAGAATTCCGGGCAGGCAGGAAACCGTTAAAAGTTTCAGCTGACCTACGTCGCTCGCCGAGAACTGCACTGCCCAAATTTGGGTTATTGGACTAGAGCTGCCAGCTAATTACGACTCGCCTCAAATAATGAGGCTTCGCGCGAATCGTATACGTGTTTCGGATACCTATGTGACCGCACTTTGATCAAGCCGCCACGTTCTCGCATTCCTCCGCACGATTCGTTTTTAGACCGCGACGCCCTCGATTAAACTCCAGCGCGGCCCGGCGGCGGCGGCGGAAGCGACTCGAAAATTAATAAAACGCAAGTGATTCAGCGAGCGGAAAATCGCGAGCTCAGTCGTACGCTCCGTGTGTGCCTGCGGCACACACACGCACACGGAGGGGGCCCGCGGAAGCGGTCGGGAGGAAAGAAGTCTGAATAGGAATAGGTTGATTCGCGATTGTGCGGCTGGGTGCGCAGCCTGGCGCAGCTTGGCGCTCGCCCCTGGGGCACGCGACTGATGAATTTAAGACTTGGCTCGGAGGCATAAGCGAAGCATTGTGTCGCGGCTGACTGCTCGTTTGAAAAGTCGAGCCTCCTCGTGCCGCTGCTATCCGATGTTAATGCTGTTTAACTTCCGCCTCAATTCACTCACGCCTCTTTTCTGCCCAACGATATGACTACTCGCTTCGGCTATAATATGTGCCTCGGGCATCGGCCATTGTCTCCGTGCTAGTTCGCACTGCTATGACCGCTCGGTTGTCTTTTAGCCAATGTCATTCTGCCGGATTACTTTACCGGAAGACAATAAACGTCATTCATCAATTTGATTGGAGGTTTGCCATGGTTACACAATCAAGACGAATCCATTCGGATTTGACGTTTGCTTTTTTACGTCACGAATTTCGAGCGTAGCTACGTAACGGCAAATCTAACGAACCATATTAAATTATCGAATTTCGCGAGCACGTAACGAGATTACTCTGTATCCACAGAGCGCGTTGTATTTCTCGTTCGACTTCTATACACGAGATTGGAATATTGCCTGCTGCGGTAATCAGGCAAGGGAATCATGTGTATTGCATTGTCTTGGATAGCACGAGCAGCAGCATTGTAAGCCAGATTTACGTAAGAGTGATAAAAAGTCGGGGGCACATAAGTATTAGTATTCACGACATGCAAGACGAAAATCAACCTGTAGAGTGAGATACGGGGCCGGAATGTAAAGAGGAAAAGTAATGAAAGAGGGACAAAGTAAAACTATCGAGAAAATCAAATAGAAAGATTGCTCGGACTGATAGCACTCGCAGATTGTCTGAGATTTCCATTGATTCAGCTCGTTTCCCGACGCTTGGTAGAGGGAAATCGCGGCAGGGTCCTAAGTCAATGCTCTCGCACGCCTGCGAGTCGTCGTCGTCCTCGTCGTCGTCGTCGTTGTCTTCCTCGTCTTCCTCGTCTTCCTCCTCTTCTTCTTCTTCTTCTTCGTCGTCTTCGTCTTCGTCGCGCAATAAGAACTCGGCGTGTCAGCCGATCCCCTGCTCTCCTCTTCGTTTTTCTCCGGCGCGTCGCCGTTCTCTCGCCCTCTGCTGCCGGCTGCCTGGTGTTTTGCATTTTAAGAAGGTGTCGGATCCCCTTTGCTCCACCCGAGACAGCGCGCGCGGCCCGAGGAAAGAGAGAAGCAGCTGAAAAGAAGCAGCTCGAGAGATAGCTAAAAGAAATGAGAGCGAATTCTCTGGCTGGCTCCGAAAAACTTTGGCCTATCCGAGGGATGTCATTGGACTGCTCCGGTGCTGTATTTTTAGCCAAGTTGAAGTTGGTCTTTCGTTTCCGGAGCCGCAATTACCGTTCGAGCCGCGATGCGATCGCGTTCGCTACTCGGCCTCTATCTAAACAACAATCCGGCCAGCGAGCCACTTCTTTCTTGGAGTCGAGCGCGAAAATGCAAAAATTGATGAACCGCAGCTGATTCGATAGTTGGCGAGCGATTGAACGTGGCCGCGCAGCCGAAACAACAGGTCCAGCTGGCCCCGCCGCGCCGCTAATTTATGGAGGACGCTCAAGCAACAATAGCCTCGGGTGGGGATGGGCTCGATCGATTGCTCAGGTCTCTATCGTGTACTGCACTGGTAATTGGAACATTTATGAGTCAATCAATCACTCGTCGGCCGCAGGATCGCGCCTCGAGGCCGGCTAATGGAATGACCGCACTAATCCCCGACTCGACTCGACTCGACTCGACTCGACTCGACCCGACTCGACTCGACTCACGCGACTCGACGCGCAGTGCGAGTGGCGCTTTAGCCGGCCTTTGTTTCTGTTTCAGTCCCCCCGATGCTGATGATCCCGCATCAACTGGTCGGCGTGCCTCTTGGCTACTCGGTCACCCTCGAGTGCCACACCGAGGCTCACCCGACCTCCCTCAATTACTGGACCAGAGACGACGGCGTCATGATTCACGAGAGCAAGAAGTACAAGGTGCTCTCCACGCCGGACAAGCCATCCTACAAAACCAATATGACTCTGACCATTTTCAACATCGAGGTCAGTACCAACACTGCACGCCACCGTTCCAGCTCCTGCCGTCGTTATTTCCAGCCGACGAACTCCACTCGAACTGCGCTATTTTTCGGTCTGCCGTGGCGCGCGGCCACCTTCAAAATCCACTGGAAGCACTAATCCGCGCAGTCTATGCGGCCGCGAGCGAGCGGCGAAATTATGTGGACTCGGTAAAAGAAAAGTGCCGGAAAAATATACACCCGGACTGTCGAGTGCAGTCTGCGATCTCGCGGCGCGCGCGGAGAAAGAAATAAATGCTGTTTGCCATTGCGCAATTGGTAAACTTGCCCGACGACGCTTTTCATACCTATACGCGGACTCGTGGTGCAGTCGGTCGCGCACTCGCGCTTAACGACCGGCAATAAAGCGCCGTGGCCGCCGTGGCCGCCGATGCCGTTGCCATCCACGTGTGTTATACATTGTCGATTCCTTGTACTCTCGCGCTTCGTTTGTCCGGTAACTTTTGTCGCTGCGGCATCTGCGCTCGGTCGCATTAACCTCGCAACTTTCATTGTTTTCTTTCAGAAATCCGACTACGGCAGTTACAAGTGTGTCGCGAAAAACCCGAGGGGCGAGACCGAGGGCACGATACGTCTCTATGGTAAGTTTTTTTACGCAGCTGCAAGCTTTCTTACTTTTTGCTTTTTAACTTGTCATTATACGCCCTCAAATGACTGGCCTCGCTCTCGCCATTTTTCCGCTCTTTTTGCTCGTCCCTTCGTATACGCTGAAAATGGAAAAAAGGCATTTGGCGGACTGTCGAAAAAAAGAACGTTTAGTATTCATAGAGCGAAAGCTCTGCAGCTCAGGACTCGACGTTCGCTCGTGAAGAATGCTAAACTCTGTCACGTACTGCTTGTCTCCTGTCTTTATTAAACTTTTTTTCCCTTTATCTTCGATACTCAGCCAACAATGACACGCCACATCCACGGTAAATAAATACTTGTCCGTTGATATTACGTAGCTGCGCGTACGTGAACTGCGCGGAAAACGTCCCGCGGAATGACTCCGGCAGACGTGAGTTTGCACATGTATACATCCGTGCCAATGGAAAATGCCTCCTAATAGCTTACAGTGGCTAATTGAAGCGATAAAAATTATAATGAAACGAGTCAGCAGAGTGTAAAGAAAACGAGCGAGAGATTAAAGAGCCGCGAGTTAAGTGCTCTTAAACCACATAACGTATGCATATAATGTAAAGGAGTGTAGTAGCTTTGCGCCGAGTCTCCTCAAACGGCCAACAACTCGAGTAGTGGAGTGAGGAGGCGAAGGTAAACAGCAACGCACGTACGGCCTCCGTCTCCATTAGCGGGCATCGGTTTTTCGCATTAGCCTCATTCGAATGAAGCGGGCGCTTAGCATAAAAGGCCTCGAGTCGTCGCCGGCGCCACCGCAAAAAGAAAAAAGCACGGGCTACAAGCTTGACGCCAGGAAATGGACGCGCTGATTGCCGTCCTCCAACGATGAATATTGACGCGTGACTTGATCTTTTCCACCGAGTTCACTGCTCGACGCTCCATTTCCATGTATTCCTTTGGCAGTATTTTGTTCGTCAAATATCAACTCGACAACATTTTAATTAAATTAATATCGATGTACCTGCCTCGGGGAACTTGTCGACTGGTGGCCCACCAAAAAAATCATTAATTTATTAACGGAATTGCGCAGTTGGCCTGGATATTTCGACTTGAATTCTCAGAAAGATCGAGTTTATCGAACTGAATTTTCAGCCGAATAAAGTTAGGTATTGCTATGGAGTAAACAAATTACAAATATTAATAAATAGCTTTCAAATAATTTATTTGTAGAAGAATAAATGTATCCTCGAGTTTCCTATTATTTAATTAGTTAGCGAGCAACGTTTGATTCATTATAAATCTTAATTGGATTTCCGTATAGTGCAGTCACCGTCTGGACAGATTACTTTTTAAACGAAACTTTTATATGATTATCGATGGACAGATAAATAAAACGGTGACATTCAATAAGTGGTAAATATAGTTAATTAAATGAAAACTCAAATTATCGATGGAATGGTTGCGACGCATTTGAATAAATAAATCCGCAGCACAGTCGATTAATCGGCTGAAGATGGGAATCCCGTTAAAAGCACGTTCAAAGCCAGGCAGCAATTAGTCTGGTAGTCTGACGAAGAACCCTCCGTTGCGGCGCGTCACCGATTGCCACGACCGCAACGCCAACACAATGAAATTCAAAATGCCGCATAAGTAGTGTCGAGTAGCGAACGAGAGAGCCGCGAGGAGTTGCGGACAAAGGAGACGAAACAGAAAGAAGATGAGAAAATAAGAGTTGCAATAAACGAATAATACCGGCAGAACTAGCCGCGTGTCCTGGACTCATCAGAAGGAAAAATTCCTTTGGCCACTGTAGGGTTCTCGAGAGCGAAGCCGCAGAGGGCAGAGTGAGAGGGAATGAAAAAGAGTAGTAAGCAAAGAGAGACACTCGATAGATACGTCGCGTCCTGCCTGAGAGAGGCCAAGAGAGAAAGAAAGCGAGCGACTAGAGGAGAGCGGATGGGGGCGACGGAGACAGAGAATAAGTCGGAAAGCGGCCGGCTCTTGCCGAAATTAAGTGGTAGCAGTCAGAGATATGTCAGACGAGTTTTATTAAGCGGCATAAAAAAGAGATTTGTCGTTGGAGCGAGCGAGCTTTGTGCGGAGCCATTCTCTCTCTCTCTCTCTCTCTCCTCTCCTCGGTCGCCGAAAAGCAGCAGCGTTACGTCTGCGGAAGGGGCGGCAGGCTGCTCGCGGTGAGGCGGAGAGGGGCCGAGATATGAATTTATTATGGAGCAGAGCGCCCGAGGGCCGCGCAGTGGCTCTGTCTTTCCTGATATCCCCGCGATTGCGTCCTCCTTCTCGTCCATTTAAACCTCTCGGCTAATTTATTCCGCGGCACAAAACGCTCGAGCAGCGCGATATCGCATTCATTCGCTCGTTTACGCCCAAGAAATGTTATCTCTTACATAATGCAACAGGACGCTCGCGCGGCGTCCCAGCCGCGTCGCGCCGCCGTCTCGCTGCAACGCTGCGCTCGCCCTCCCAACTCGATTTAATTATATCATCGATGTAGCCGCGATCTTTGATTGCGCGCCGCACAAACACCGACACCCGCGCCCCACCAGCTTCCCTTTGGCTACTCTACGCTCGACTCCTCGACTCGTACAACTCCAATTGCTCCCCTACTCGTCCCGCTGACTCGCTTGCTTGCCTCCTTGCCGCCCACCTGCCAACTTCCAAACTCGGCTCTTCCCCCCTGCATATCAATCGCACTGCCACGCTTCTTTCGGCGCTCTTCGCTCGCGTTGCTTATTCCGCCGTCAATTAGGCCTTCTGCGTGCGATTACTTGCCAACTCGCCATCTGGAACTTGAACGAGCTGTCCACGCCGAGGGACGTCAGGGCTTGGAAAGCGGTGCTAAACTTGCGGCTCGTTGAAAAGTTATTCATCAATTTATTAGGCGATCGTCAAACTGTCAGCTCGAAAAGGAGCAAGAAAGAAGGAAGCAGCCTCGAGGTTTTGGTACGGCAAGCTGCTTACTCGCAGCAAGGAGCTTTCTCCCCCGAGTAGCGCGGCCAATCAGCCCGAGGGCATAAGAATTGTCGATAGACAGCGCCGAGCAATTGGGCAAGTTTCAGCGCGAGAGCCTTATTAAGGAGCTGTTTATAAGCTGACGAGCTGGGCTGTCTGCGGCGAGAGCGAGCCGCGTAATTTTTTTCTCGCGGGGAGTGGAGCGATTCACTTTCAACTGTCCTCGCTAGGCGCGGGCAGAAAGAGCGAGTAATAAAATGGAAAAGGGTCGCGCGGAATAACGATGGGAAACCAACTGAAAGTCTAATTACTGGCTCAACAAAGACTCGCGGCTTCCTTGCCATTGCCTCGCCTCGACCGACTCTCTCTCCCCCGCCGAGAGTGTTAATTAAAAAGAACCGGATGGATGACCACTTGGCTGTCGCGTGTAGCCGGAATTCATTTATAAGGGCTGCACTTATTTATTTCTTCATTACTCTTGCCGTGCCAGGCCGCTATGTGCGCGCCGCAAGCCCGGCGCAATGCGCGCGCGCGCCGAGCTAGCTGCGGGACACATCAGCGCCAGCGAAAGTTGAGTCAATTTAATTTTCCCTTCCCTTGCCTTCCTTTTTTTCTGCGCCTTAACTTTGCTGAATGGCTGAGGGTCCTTGATATTTCCGAAAGAATTCAAGAGTCTCGTTAAGAAATCTCGTTAAAAAGTAGTTTGGCCTTTACGATGCCGTTAAAGTTAATTTGGTGAGCATCGAAAACGAATGGCAACGAGTATGTAACCGCGCCACCGTCACTTTCTCTGCCGGCAGCTTTCCGCGCTTTTTGCCGAGCGGCATTTTTCCCAATAAATCGGTCAATCGATCGATGCTCGCCAATAAAACAGATTCGGCCGAATTGATTAATCGATGCTTTGTTTGCAAGAGTACAACAAAAGACGACCGAGACAGGCAAATTCAATCGAAGACGAGTGGCAGCTTGGAGTGCCGGGCTGGTCGTATAAATAACTGACGAGCTTACGTGGAGACCGAAAGTTCTGCAGAGAAAGTAGAGGAGAGAGAGAGAGAGAGAGAGAGAGAGAGAGAGAGAGTGGGTGCGCGCTTCGGGCCGTTCTTCATACGAGACAGCGACTGCGCACCGGCTATCGGTGATGCGGCTGGCAGCTGCGGCGGCCTCGAGCTACGACTTTACCCGCGGTGGACTTTTTTTGCTGCCCTCGTCGAGCCCCAGCCTCGGCCAAGAAGTTTGGCAATTTCCTGGGGGCTAATCCGAGCCTAACGCCGAGAGCGCTCGGCATTGAGATGGTGCGAGCGGCGCGGCCTGGCGAAGGAGGGTAGCCCAAGCACGTCGGGGCGTGAGCGGCAGACCGCGCGAACCGCCCCATGAATTATACAAGCGCGCGCAGAGCGGCTCCGAGGCCATGGGGGACCAGCCACCAAAAGTCCCGAAGATGCAGCTGCCAATTGGTATTCCCGGTGCAAGGGCCAGAGCCCATTGTCGCGCTGCGGCGGCCTCCTTCGACTTCTCCACTCTCGAGCTGCGACTTGCCTGTTGCTGTTCCCCCGACTTGATTTTACCGAACGCAGCCGACTGTGCCGCGTGTTCGGCAAGCCGCCAATGTGGCACTGCGCGGCTGTAGCGCGGCGGCGTCGTCCTATCGCGGGAGATCGATCGAAGGAAGACGGACCGACCGACCGAAGAGCCGATAAGCGACTTCACCCCACTCGGCAACCCGATAAGCGACCCGAGGTGAGCTGGCGCGGCTAGTTAAGGCAGCCGAAGATCTCGGGTCGGCAGCTGCAGCGCGGTCGGTCGAGGCGCGTCACGGCCAATTTCCTTGGGCGAAACCGCGCTGCGGCGGCCTGTTATCGGCTGCCGCGATGAGTACCGGCGAGAGAGCTTGCAGCGTGCACCCGCAGCAGCACGGTTTTATCAAGAAGCATTCGAGACGCCTGCCGCCGCGAGCGCAAGGCGCCTCGGGGCTGACTCGTGGCATGCGTGCAAGTAGCGCACTAGCCCGCGAACTTCTCGGCTGCCAGCCTCGCGCTCGGGCCGAACTCCAGCGCCAAGTTTGCGCGGCGCGCTCGCGTTGTCGAACGAGCTTCGATCGAGCCGCCGATAGCCTCGCCGACGCGTTATCCTCGCTCGCCTCCTCCAACTCCGTAACGGTCGTTGTCTGCGTCCAGAGACTCGGCGTTGGCTCTCGTCCAGATCGATTATCGCAATCAGCCGCAGCCGCGCATAGAGAGCAAGCTGCAAGCTGCGCGACCGTCGTTCGCCTCTTCGGTGACGCGCGATGCCGGTGCGAAGGAGCAGAGCGAATTCGAACTGAAGAATCGCGAGGAGCGGCCAGAAAATAAAGTGGCCGTGCACGAGCGTCGGCACTCGTTTAAATGGCGCGCTGTGGCTCTTGAGCTTTTCGTCTACGCGTACACGTGGTAGGCGAGAGCCCGCCACCACCTAGCCAAAAGAAGGAAGCCGGAGGTGGCAGGGGTGCGCGGCTCGACGAGCGTAGACGAAGGAAGGAAAAGTAGTCGGAGGAGATGGGTTGGGATGGGAGGAGGGCCGCACGGGTGTGGGAGGAAAGACAAAAAGGGAGAAAGATGGAGCCGCTGACGTGCTGTAAGATTGATTGGAGTCACGAGATGGAAAATTAACGGTCTGGCTGGGCGCGCGTAGAAGTATTTCGCGAAAGGGGCCAAGGGAGGCGGAGAGTGACAGCCACTGCATACTAATCTGGTGGCGCCGCGCGCGCGCGCGAAAGGAAGAGAGCGAGAGAGCGAGGAGAGCGAGAGAGCGAGCTCCTTGGCTGTGCACATCGGGCTAGCAGCACCGAGAGTCGAGAAAGAGAGAACATATAGCTTCGGACAGCATCGCATAACCTCGCTACCTGCCATTTCGCCCAGGTCGCTAGTGCCGCCGCTGCCGGCTTCTTTTCAACGGCTGCCTTTCCACGCGCGCCCCGTCCTGCATACCTAATTCCAAGATAGAGTGCGTGTGCCTGCGAGTATTTCGCCCTCGCCGTCGTGCCCTAACCTCCTTCCCCCTTTCCTAACATCCTTCCTTCTCTCCGACACTTTTGACGGATTCGTCAACTTATTTTTCATCTCTTCCAACTTGCTCTGCATTGACGGACATCTCTAGCCTCCGTTCGTTGGCTCTCAGATTCAACATTTCTACTTCGAAACGACGCACAGTCCAACGGTTTCGTTCAATCGTTCGACTATATAACAATTCATTTTTAAGCTTTTAAACAGTGAATTAATAATAATAATAATAATAATAAATACTTGTATAATTTGTCCTGTGGCATTCTACCTACCACTTGAATCACCAATCGATTATCATGTCTCATTCACTTCCTTTAATTTCCTTATATTCTTCATACTGATTTACTCCATATAATAATATATGCAATAAGAACAGAATAATTAAGTATTAATCGATTTACCAATCAGTTCTCCTAAGTTAAAAATACGTCGTATCGCTGTAGGATAAACGAATTTATTCAAAAACAGTATTGTATTCACGAATATCTTAATAATAATTTTTCATAGTTTAGCAGGTAATGCGTTATTTTTATGCCTAAAAAATTGAACGTAATGTTTTGACTTGTCCACCGGTGAATAGCCAAAGTACTATTAACGTTCGTGGTAACGACTACTGTATATTTATATATTTATAGTCACACATATAATATTATTATTACCGTCTTATTTTCATTTTTTTATTTTGACATGTCTATAAGCTTATTGTTTCAAAGCCAATTGAAAAAAAGTACTGACACCAGTGATAACAAAAACCTCATTTTTAATTCGATTCACAATACGCTGAAAACTACGTTTTAGTTTTTTTTCAACATTACTTACGCCCGTAGAATTAAAATTTGAAGACAGAGTAACATTTGAGTTTTTTTTATAAAATGCTAAAAGACAATGACAATATTCTTTTCGTTCATTTGAGATACATACTCCACTTGAAAGTTCGATTAAACTTGCTCAGAATTGGAGAATTTTTTGAAAAACTTTATTGATGATTCATGTGTGGGCATACACACGTACATATTTATACAAAAATTTCCGCACATACGTATATATTGACATATGCCTCTGTACGGACTGGAAATACCGATAGGACTTAGGGAGCGAGTCGATAATCCGTCAACTCCGTTTCACTCTTTATTTACAGAAGTAAAATAACTAAATCAATACGCGTAGATGGCAGAAAATATAGTATGCATCATGATCGTAAAGAGGTATTGAATACAATTGCAAACGCAGTCGAGGCGAGTGCTAAGAGTACAACAAAGTGTAGATAAGAATTAGTAAAAAAAATAGGCATAGAAAAAGCCATTTTCGAAAGCATAAAAGTGCGGCGCGACTGATTTAGTGTATGAGCGGAAAGTAGTATAAAGTGAAATAGCAAAACGAGGGAAAGTCTCTCGGCAATGGAAACATTTATCAGGTAGAAGTGGTAGCTGAGATGCTCGCTGGGGAATTGGCACTCGGCTGGAATGTTGAAACGCTTGGCAAAGCCGCCGCCGCCGCCGCCGCCGCTAATCAGATTTGCACGGCTAGGGAAATTTGTTTGCGAGTTGGCCACGCTATCGTCTACTTGCCTGTCGATCAATTTCTCAACAAGTTGCCGGGCTTGCGTCGTCTCCCGATTGCGCCTCGCCAGCTCGTTAGCCGATTAGGCCTTTTCGTAATGAATATCCTCCGGCAGAATGCACGAAAGCGAGTCTTATTAGACGGAGAAGCAGACCGCGCGTGGTCAGGGAAGGTCTTCCGCAGTGACGGGACGAAATTGAGCCGAGATAGGCGCCGTTCCAGGCAAGTAAACAATAGCTCGGTAAATCATCGGCGCGCGCGCGCGCCACGTCGAGCAACGGCGACGACAGGAGGACTGGCGCGAGCAACGACCTCGCGTCTGGCTAATCAAATCTGGAAAAGCGGGCGCATTCGTTTTCGGCGAAATGAGCGACGGCGGAGCCGCACATGGGGCTGCTCCGCGCCCTACGCAGCCGGGGCAAGGAGAGACGGCGAGCGCGCTAATGCTCTCGGCGATTGATCGGCGCGACGGCAAGTCGAGCGGCAGGAGCCAATCATCAATCAGCGCGGCAAAGTTAAATGGCCGGGACAACGGGTTTTAATATCTCTTCGGGCCGACGAGCGGAAACTGCCGAGACAGAGACGGAGCGCTCATATACGCAAGAGCTCCGGCGGCGAGAGCGAGAGCGAGAGCGAGAGAGCGCTACTCGCCCAAATAAAAGTTGGCGCGATAAATCAAAAGTGAAAAGTCGCCGTCCGAGCGCCAGCAGACGCGCAGCCTTTTTCGGCTCCGTCACGATCCTCCCACCCCCGAGGTCGCTCGCTCGCTCGCTTTGCTTTCTTTCTCGCGCATTATCCTCTCGATTTAGCGCCGATTTCCGCTCGGCCCGTCCCCCGAACGATCGATGCGCGCCGCTCTCTCCTTTCGCTCTCGCCATCCCCGAGCCCTGGCCCCGAACCGCGAGCCACCTCGGCGGCTCGTCCGCGAGATAACCGCGACAACTCGAGCGGCATCGGCGCGAGTCCCTCCGAGCGGCTGCCTCGTGGCGAGCGAGGCTGCGAGCAAACGGCAAATAATCGAATGGGCAATAATTTACCGTTAAAAGTCCTCTTGGCGGGCGCGCCCGAGCGATAATTATTCATCGATGATAATTAAATGGGTCCGAGAACGAGCGCGCGCGAGCACTCGGCCAGCGAAAGCCTCATTAGGCGATTAACGCCGAACATGTTCTCGGCGGAAGCGGCATTAACGCCGGCTAAAAGCTCCATATATCTCGTAAGCTGGTTTTAGCTGCCAACGCTAAGCTTTTCCGCTGCCAAGCAAAAATCTCGGCCGGCGCGCCGATTAACGGATTGCCGACAGGCTCCTCCCTCCTCCTCCCCCGTTAGATGATTCGCCGGGGCTTGGGCGCGCCAGATTAGCGCTTATTACTTCATCGTTATTCGCGCGAGGGCTGCTCGGTCGGACCCACATATACAGAGCTAACAGGTGGGGCGAGCTAGTCGGAACAACAGCGTACGCCAACTTACGACTAACTCGCGGCTTGCGGGCAAACTTTGTGACTTCTTCGGCTGTCGATAGAAGCACAGAGCCGCTAACGTTCGTTATCCGCGCGAATAAACGAGCGGAGGCCCTCCGTTTGACTATCCTGCACTTGCACCGAGGAACTGCGCAGCTGGGGCGGATACACACACATAAGCGCTAGAGCTCCTCTCCTCTCCTTTCCTTCTTGCTCATCTGTCTGCCTCTGCAATCCCTTCTGCCCCGAGCCAGTTCCACCTTCTGCGGAGCACGTACACGAGCCTGTATATACATTCGGCCGAAGGAAACTTTAATTAAAAATAAAAACTTGCTTGTTCTTGCGCTTATTGCAGAGTCCACGCCGCCCAGCACCAGCCCCAGCCCCGTCACCACCGAGATGCCCAGTGAAGGTGAGCAAACTTTATGCTTTAACGGCTACGTTCTGCCTTCGATTTCTTACCACCAGCGCACGTATCTTTTATCCTTTTTCGTTAGAAAAATAAAACCACCTTTCTTATTTTCATCCAAATAAGACTGTTCGGTTCCCGACAAGCTTTATTCGTAAATCAGCTGAATAATTTAATAGCTTCCGTGGCGCTGACAAACTGACACAACGAAATAAAACTGATTTACGGCCTTCTATTATGCGTGTGTCAATATTCCTTTTACGAGCCATTTTAAACATGTTACGCAATTCTGCATGCCAATAATGGCTTTTTTCTCACAACTTTATTTTCCAAAAATAATATTGTGGAAAACAAATTACACGACGAATAAAAACAAATCAATTTTTTTTCGGAGTTATTCTCCATAATATTTAGTTAAGAATTTATAACGTATATTTATTTATAACATTTAATTTAAATCTTAGTTTGATAATTAAGATTATCGCTAAATTGTTTGAAATGTTTTCAAAGTGTTCTAATTAATTAGATTTCCTGCAAAACACAAATTCAATAACAATTAGAAACAACTTGAACAGCGAATAGCATAATAAGCCTTGAATACGCTAATCGGTTTATTGACCTATTCTCATGATCAATTGCAGAGTGGGAAACTTCATCGGAGCTGAATAACTCAGTGTACGGCAACCCAAGTTCGCTGACCATACACAACGACAAGAAAAAAGGTGAGCCACGTAACAAGTACCGAGGAGATGAAATATGATCAATTTTCAGCGCTTACGGACATTAATTCAGTGTGTTGTCATGTAGAGCAGGGTTCTGTACTGCAATTTTCCAACTCATTGAATGCAAGCGAAGGCGCGCACCGGCTCACACGATCGGCACGATCGGGGGTGGTAAAAGCTTCGAGACACTTATCTCCGATCTCGTATACAAAATCAATGTATTTATCGACGCCTAACATCATATAATTGTATTCCCCGCGTTGACGAACCGACTCGAGCATGAAATCGTAGATTAGGGATATGAAGAGCACCGGAGGTTGAGGAAAGGGAAAAAGAACGGTCGCGAATCAAAAAACAAAAAGAAGAGCGTGTCTTTCCGTCTGTCGAGTGTAGAACGGCCCATGATAAAAGGGGGTTGCTAAAATGTAAGGGGATGGAGTGAAGAGGAAGAGTAGGGGGCGTAACATCAATATTTCATGTATGCTAACGCAGTAGAACTAATAATGCCGACTTTGGGCTGAAGCGCGAGGAAGAGCCAAGAATAATATCAGCGCTCCGTATTCCGCGGTTTTCCTCTTCACGCGCGCGCACGAGAGAGAGAGAGAGAGAGAGAGAGAGAGAGAGAGAGAGAGAGAGAGAGAGAGAGAGAGAGATGCCTTTCTATATCCGGTAGCACGAGCATGAAAATAATCCTCGTCTTTCCACTGCTTGGCTATACCTACCACGACTAGCTTTCACGGCTCTCTTGTTTATTGAATTTTCGCGGCAAACAAAAGCCTTTCGAAAATGTTGTCTGCGGTCTGCCTGTCGCTTTTATCATACCATTGTTCGCGCAACAAACGCTTCTCCGGTTCTTTTCTCGTTTGGTTTTACTTTTTTGCACCTCGATTTTTGGTACTTTTTGGTTCCCGTACAATTTTCTTAACCGATTACAAGTAAATGGAAACGTCGCTTGCTCGTTGTTTCGAATGTTTGTTCATAGTTGAACTCCGAATTGCTGTGCGCTGGGCTATAAATTATCCAATGAATTTGGACAATAATTACAAAGTATAATGCTGTAAGATCGTCTAAACTAAAGCTCGCATCAGAGACGGCGAATTTGCCGCTCAATTATTCATTGGCGTGTTAATCCTCTCGAGTGAACGCTAGGCCACTACGGGATACAGCAGGCGAAGGTTAAGACTTTCAAAGTAGCACCACACGCCAGGGTTTGTAATTGGCAAGAACCATCGGGTGACATTAATGCTTCTCGACAAGAGCAAAACCTTATGGTTCTTGCATATATATTGAAAGGTCCACATAGCAATCATTGAGGGAATAAGTTGTGCCTTTATTGTTTGCACTCTCCTTTCAACAAACAAAACTTTTCAAATTATTAATCCAACTGTTATTAAAGTCTATTCTTGTTCCGTTATCAAAAAGTCTGCTTAATTCATTATTTTCCTGTCAAATTTCAGGCGTTTTCATTGACGTATGCTACTATACAGCTTCACGGACTTCGACTACCGGTTCGTCATTAGATTACTTTTAAGAATTGAGATTTACGTTGTTTTCAATAAAACATCACTCGAAATGCAATATATACCAATTGGTGATCGACTTACATTCTGATTTCAAATTTTTATTCACAAAGAAACAATATGACGGCATAAAAATAACGTGCGTCGTCGTTGAAGCTTGATGATGTTAACATGCGGAGCCGTGACAGCTTACGGTGCGTTATTAACCATTTAATGGAATATTTCACGCTACGAGAGTTTAATCAGAATGATATTCGGGAGACAAGACGTACATGTGACGATAAATCGAGCGCTTGCGTGCGGGTTTGCATTCGTATTAAAGATGTTCGATTAATCGGCTCATCAATTACGTATTTCAATAAGTGATAATATATGCCTTACAGTTCATTATGATCATGGAAACCATTCAAACAAGTGTCTCAATTAGGCCCCATTTTTTTAAATATTTTGATAGCGTTCTCGTCAACTATCAAAGGCACATGTTTTTATAATTTGCAAATTTTAGTAGTCCCCGTGGTTTTTTGCCTATTCGGAAAAATTTGATCTTTCGTCGCACGTCGTTATAATGACCTTTTGTTATCCACGCTAACAACCATAACAACTAAACGGAAAATTATTAATTTTAAAATCTTGTTTATTTTGGAGTTCGCTATAAAATAAAAAATTGCACAGGGATTAAAGCTTCTATACGCAAATATTGGTTTTATAATCAATATCGAAAAATAGAGTAAAAAATTATCCAAGTAATATATAGCTCTCCATTCGTATCTTTTGCATAATTGAAATGGAATGATGAAAAGTTGCACAGTAAAAATTTCGATTAACGCTGTTAAAAAATAAATAAATAACCAAAGCATGGTCGAACAAAGCATTGACGATTCAAAAAACAAACTTGTTATTTTATGAAAAGCTCTAGTATAAAGAGCTGTACTCCATTATAAATTGACCGCTAATCAAGTGCAGCGAAACCAACGTTATCGAAAAAAATGTTTTTATAAATAAAATAGAAACAGATTTACGAAAATAGATAAGTTATGACAAGCATTTAATTTTAGAGACTGAAAATGTCGGCATTCATGACTAATAGACACATTAGAGCTAAAATACGAGTACACCTACGCGTGTGCTTATGTGTACCGTTTCACTGAATAATAAATGCTCGATTGATATATAAAAGAAGCGTGACTGACGTATGGAGATTGCGTAGCAGTGTCATTGGAGGATTGCAAGGTGTATTCGGTAAGCGCAAGTCGCTTAAAGTACATAACGTAAGCGTAATACGCAGGGATAGTAATAACGGCTGATCGTACAATTGTGCAGCACAAAGCCGACGGCTCGTGACTGCGGCTGTGTCGAGCACGCGTATACACACACAGCTCGCACGCGGGATTGCCACCAACGACAACAACAGCAACAGCACCACCACCAGTCACTTAGTTACCCGGGCGTGTGCAGTCGGCTCTCTCTCTCTCTCTCTCTCCCTCTCTGTCTGGCACGCGTGGACGCGGAGGCTGATGAAAAGCAAACAATCGGCGTAGACGATCGCCATCAGGGCCGATCACGCGCATAGCACTCGTCGCGCAGGTTGGCCTGGCCGATTGAATGACATAGCGTGCGAGCAGAATCAGCATACGTCCCGACGGTCTGCATCCGTTTCTCGGTCGGTGTGTTGCCCGGCTAATTCCTACCTATAGTTAGCTTGTTATAAGCCACATAGTTTGGCCGTAGTCCCTGGCTCCCTTGCGGATTCACCGACCATTAAGAAACTGTTATCGGATACCTGCGTATACCTCGAGTTATATATCCCCGCCGCCAGACTTCTCCATCCGGGAATTACGTGCAAAAACCTTTCATCTTATTCTCTCAATACACATATTTTGATTATCTCGTTATCCCAATGAAACTGGACATCTCAATTTTCATCTGATTTTAAGATTTTCAGCTTTGAAATTCAAAACTAATTTGGAGTTATTTAGTAACGATAATTAGTCGACAATGAAGCATACGAGTCCAGGGTAAGGAGGCGGCGCAGCAGTACAGCGTAGTAAACGGATCTTTCTTTCGTGCTTCTACATAACTACTGGCTCTTCGTTGAGACGTGAGCAGCGCGTGTATTCCGAACGTGCAGCGCATGATTTGCCGCGTCTGCACATTCATTCATGCACACGTGTACACCATCGAGAATACATCTAGACTTTTATTCGAGATAACCGGTCAAGCTTGAAACGACTTTTTCTAAAACATAACAGACTTATTATGCACCGTGATTTAGAAATCTGAAGATTTTCTACTTCGCGATATCTTTGAATAGTACGATAATGTCAGAAAATAGCACTTTTATCCTCTACCTAATGAGATTTTGAGCAAAGTTAGTTGATGATTTTACGAAAAACGACTTATCCCATTCTACATCATGGATTCCGAAGGTTTAGATTGATTCCTCGCTTTTCTACGTACCATTCATCTTCGAGAGGGGCACAGTAAGGACCCCAGTGTTAACTGAACTTTATGAATTTCGGATTTATCTCGTTAGATCGAGGAGTCACTGAATATTCGTTAACGATTAAAAAATACTCGTGTTCGCTTAATGGAAGAATACGATTGTTAGATCGAGTGCTGAGCTAACCGGACGAAAGACTAGATAGCGCACTGTGAAAGTTAAACGAACAGCTAGGTAAATGCAACGAGACGACCTGTCGAATTGCATGTTTTACTAACTCGAGACGACCATGAGAGAAAAAACAGGCAGCGAATGTTTAGCGCAAGCAAGCGAGAGACGTTCGGTGCGTGCAGGATGAGAGAGAACTGTCGAGAGGCAGAGCAGAGCAGGATAATAAAATTGTATTTAGCCAGAGTTTGCATACTAGTTAGGCGACGCTTCCGCGTCTTGGGGCTGCACATACATAGAGCGTTGCGAGTCGAAGCGGAGGCTGAGGCCGCGAGGTGGTGTAGCGCGCGGTGGCGTAAACACCTTCTCTTTGTGTCTCTCTGCCGATTGTGTGGCGCGACGTCGTCCCTTTTGCCGGCAGCAGCTCTCACGGGCTCCTCGGATGCGTACACACAGCTGTGCTCGCAGCGCACGCCCCCGCGTAGACGTAGCGGGGCGTGTGTTTGCATCGCGCCGAAATACACGGAGATCGCGACTCCGGGGCTAATTTATCCGAGCGAGGCGCGTGACGAGCCTCAAGATCAGTCGTCTCGGCGGACTCGGGGCTGCTCGTGAAAACTGCTGCTCGTTTGCACCGATGTAGCCTCGCGCGTTCTCGAGCGAGCGCACACATCTCCCGATTGTGCTCCGCGACTATATCGATATCGCAGGATAATGCCGGCACGATGTGTCTGTAATGAAAACTGACGTCGGTGCGCACGCTACTGTTCCAGGCTCTAAGATGCAATCAAACTTGAACGAGATTGGAAAATCCGAGCAGAAGGCGAACGACCTGAACAAGAAACGTAACACGGACTGGCCTGCCAACAATGGTAAGCTTTGCCTCGTTTTCGTCTCACCGCATGCTATTGGATAATCTTGTTTGATTTCAATTACTCGTCCACACCATAAGTGGAAACAAGTGAAATAGTTGCGTCGACAATAAGCGCGGACAATGAGGGAGGGGGCCTGCGCGACGCGGCTTCGCCGAAGAAAAAGGAGCGCGAGGATAATGAAAGCCGGGGCGCCTTTGATTTTACTGCTCTATTCCCTTCAGACAGTTTTAAATTAGCGAGAACTTGCAGATCCACGGCACGTCCGCCGACTGAAATCCACCAGGGATTTTCAGCGCAAGGCCGCAGCTATATTGGATATTTCGCCTCGCACTCGCGCTCCTCGCTGGCCTTTGCTCTTCTCGCTTCCCACCCTCCCTAACAACTTTTTCTTCCCTGCGTAGCAAAGAACTTTGGCCGGCTTTGCACGTACAGCGCTAACCTGCCTCTCATCCCATTATTAGCTGCATTATTTGTTAATATTGCTCCGGCCGATGTCGGTCCTTTGGCTTTGGGCGACGCGCATCAGAGTAATGAGAATGCAAAGGGAAGAAAAAGCGCCGGGCCGGATAGGGCAGATGCAACAAAGCGGAAAAGGGCCGTCGGGATTGGAAACGTCAATTAAGGAATACTCGGCAAGCTGCCTGGAAAAGTGCGGCTCTCAGCTGGGGCGCGAGCCGAGAGCACCAACCAAGTCCTCGTCCGGAATCGCGTCGCGTCGTAAATCATCCTTGCGCTCGATGAAAAGTGGATGTGTGAGGGAATTCGCGCAGCGCCGCGAGAGAAGGAAAAAAAAAGGGGACGAAAACAGAGAGGCCGGAGCGGGCGGCGCCGGCGCCGTTGCAGAAAAACGATCTAGCCGGCTCGCGGAGCGGAGATAGAGCAGTAGAGCGGCGAAATTGCCATGAAAAATTAATGGGCAGCCGATGCGCGCTCCCTGTCTTGGCCGGCGCGAGCGCGCGATATCCGCTCGCAGTCTGCGGCCAGTCCATCTGCCGCCGCGGACAAGGGACAACGGCGCGAATAAACGTCTCCGTTAAAAGTTTCCCATCCGATTCGCAATTAGAGATGAGCTGGCAGTCGGGACGCGGCACGCACGGCTGCGCGAATTTGCGGAGTAAGTAATAACGCTAAAAGGACGAGGAGCGGGAGCCCAGCCGGAAGACCGACTCTTCCTCTCTCGTTTCCTTCGCGGGCGGCTAGCGCGGCTGTCTTGCGCTCCCTCGTCGCGAGCGACGGATTCCCGGCGATCTCTTCGACTCCGCTGAGAAAGGCCTCGGTGCGACTGCACACAGCGCGCGGTCGTCGCGCCGTGCTCGCCCAGAGAGACCGAGAGCCGGCAAAACGACCCTATCGAACGCGAGCTGCCGGCTTATTTACGGCCTGCTCGCTCGCGCTCCTTTCACTCCGCGGCCTTTCTTAATTACAACGGACGGCGGCGACTCGGCGCGCGCTGCGGATTTCGGCCCGCGGACGGAAGTGAAAAACGCTGTTCCGCGCCCGCTCTGCGCTTGTCGTTGCTGCGCGCTCGCCGCCGACTACACGGCTGCGCCTTCGTTCCTGCGCGGGAGATTAAATGAGGCCGACGCTACCGCGATAGCACGAGCAAGCAACATTTGCGGAGGCGATAAAAATACTTGGGTAAATAGAGGCGAAGAGCGAGTCGATGTAGCGTAGTAACGCAAACAGTGGGAGAACAGGGAGATCACTAAACCAGTGACTTTTGTGTCGACAGGCCCGAGGATTGCGGCGGCGGCGACGTGGACGTGTTCGAAGCTGCTAGGCCTGCTGCTGATCGTGGGCTGGATCCTCCGATAAGCCGTGTGGCGCTGCTTGCGCGGCCGCTGGTGAAGCCGCGCCGAACGCGATAATGCGCGGCGGCGGCGGCGGCGGCGACGACGACGCTGGCCACACCACCGATTATCGCCCCGCACAGCCCTTCCACCCACTACAAGATTACATTACGGCACACACGCGCGCAAGCCAAACTGCCCAACGAGCTAGTTGCGGCGATGCTGCGTCCTCGTGTAACGTTACACCGAGCGCAGCTGACCAACGAACCCAATAAAATGCAGCATGCAGCCTTTCATCGAGTGCCAGTCAGTGCGCCCAACACGCGAGCCAACACCCTGTCGCTTTCGATGTAACATTTTAAGCGTTTATGCACCGGCCGACGAGCGACACCGCGCGCTACGTATTTTATGTTTGGCTTTCGCGACCTTCGCGCATCGTGCTGCTCGTGCTAATTGTTTCAAGCTTGACACCTCCTCCAGACACTTTTTTCTCACCACGCGCGTTCGTCATTTCAAATTGTTTGCCAGCTTCGCGCCGAAATGCCTCCTTGTTTTTAGCATTCAAGAGCGCGTGGTCAAACGAACGAACATTCGCAAGTCATTGCTGTCAGGGTTTATCACAGCGCATATGCATTTCGGGCGATGTCAACGTAATCATACAATTTTGCACGGCGTTGTTTGGAAAGCCTTCCAAAAATATTGCACGCTGCGGATCCAAAGTGAGAAATGGACGGACGCGTCGACTAAAAGTGGAACGAGATTCGTTTTTATTGGAATTCGAAACGATGTGTATTGTCCAACGCAAAATGATTGGATTGTCGAATCGTAGGGTTAGTTTTCGGCGAACAATCAATTACTTGAGTAGCAGCAGCGACCGAAAATCCATTGCAGTTTGGTCGTACAAATAGTGCGAGTCGATCGTTGAAAATACCTAGTGTATTTGTAACGCGTGCAAGTTGGAGGGTCCGTCGGAAAGACAGAATAGGGAAAGAAAAGAGCGTGGGAATGTTCGCTGGCCCTGCGATGGTTGTAAAGCACGTTGAATTTACGCGGGCCGGCCCTAGCGAGGCATCGTCGAATCCCATCTGGATACTTGAGATTGAAACGTCAGATTGGCGCACGCGGCAGGCACGGGGGCTCGGCTCGGAGACACTCCGCTTCGAAGAATCCTCGAATATTAAAAAGTCGAATATTATAATTTGCGAAGGTCTTGGTAGGGCACTGTAGACGCCAAGAAAAACGAGCAGAGGAGCCGAAGCGAGATGCGGGGAAGTGGAGGCGGGGGCAGGCTGGGCGCAGCAGCCGTTGCGAGCGTAACCTTTTTGCTCGCTCCTTTTCTGTTTTTCTGTTTTTCTTTTTTTCTTTCCTTTTTCTTGCCCGCGGGACGGAGAGGAGGGCGTTCACAGCGCGATTGCATAATAATATCGTCAAAGGGAAAAAGGAGACCGAGGAGACCTCGATCGAGGCGGCCCTTGGCGAGGAGCTGCGGCAAAATGATTTCGCGTCTCGATAAGTTTGGAGTGATCAGATGGTGCGATTTCTGGTCCCAGGGCGCAGCTCGTGCCCAATCCTAATGAGAATTTTTCATGCCGACTGGCGCTAAACAGATTGCAATCCGCCTTTATCGGGCCGCGTAAGCACTGCGCCGGGCGCTTCGATTTCGATCTGACTGTGTACGCATCCGCGGCTTATGAGACATACATTTTAATGAGAGCACGGAGAGGCGGAGGCCGAGCCGCAGCAATTTGTGATGCCGGCGCCGCGCGGCCCGCCTCGGCTCGGCTCGGCTCGGCTCCGTTCCGCTCTTTTTTCCTCTCTCCTTTTTTGCGCTCCAAATTGCCCCGGAACTCATGCAAATCGGCCAGCGTATTACAATGTAAAGCGTGTCAGCCTGGCGGAGGCAAGGGCAAAAATTAAATTGGCCAAAGTTGCGGCCGCGGTGCGCCGCGGTGCGCCGCAGCGCGTCGCGGCGCGCCAAAGTGCGTCAAACGAATTTAGCTTTTTATGCGGAAATTATGCACTCCGGCGTCGCCACGTCAGCGGTCTCGGCGCTTGCTCGCGCACCCACGCGCCCACGCGCCCGTGCACCCGTGCACCCGTGCGACAGGCAAGAGAGAGAGAGAGAGAAAGAGAGAGAGAGAGAGAGCGGGCGCAACAGGTTTGGCGTTCAGCGCGCAGCTAGCGAAGAGGTTGGGGGCTTTACCATGGATTAAGGACGGAAGAAAGGACTCTTGAGGCTTACACAGATTTACCGACCAGATCTGGCAGGTAATCGTGTCGCTAAAGCAAGCCGTTCGCGAATACCCACTTTCTTGCGAGCAAACCTCATTGCCTCGTGCCCCTTTTCCTTTTCAAAATCTTGCCTCGATTCATGCATTCTTCTTCACTCTCAAATTTCGCATCTGACTGTCGCTTATCCATTGTTGCTATAAGTCTTGGAAATTCGATACGAAAAGTCCGACTCGTTAACGTCAACACAATCATCAAAACCCTAGCGATGCTTAGGTATTCCGTCTGATTCAATCCGCTCAATGATTCTCGATGGTGATTCTTTAACAATTGTCGTTGGGTGTATTCGATGTAAATAATATTCCTTTTGGTGCACGAATCAGCAAAATTATAAACTTATCAAGAAATACGTTGTGTACGCGTTTACAACAAGTAAATTTTATATCGTATTGGTGTCGCGGGAGTGGATTGTCTACGCAAATCGTCGTATTTTCAACAATTTTTCTCTAGAAATGCAGTTGTTTTACAATAAAAAATAATTAGTACCTCCATACTTTTGTTCAGTGCTTATGAAATAGATATTAGTGATCTATGATAATATTGTGATTCTGTACACGAAATTCAAATAGGTTCTATGTTTCATTTCATCCGTATTAATATACTCAACGTATTATGCGTAAATTTTGTAATGAAATCGTTGTTTGTTGTTACAAAAATTACAAAAACAAGTTATGAAAATGTTTGGTGAATGCGATGCGAAAGAGCAATGTTGCCAGGGACGCGAAGTGTGTTGTAAATAGAAAAGTAAATAAACCAAATATACATATAGGTAAGCGATACAGCTATAGTTTTACCATGACACAATTAAGTAAGTCAAGTAAGAGGGTTGAGAAACTAGAAAAGCTTAACGATGAAGCCTCTTACAACGTTATTTTCAACGTAGTTCTTAAGAGAGAGCGAATTAATTTAAAAAAAAGTTTGTGAACGCGTCATTATGGGCAAAACAACTCGACAAAACGAATTATTGCGAGGGTATACATGTATACATATACATATATATATAAATAAAACAAAATATAAATATATAAATATACTTAGAAAGGCCAACAGGGAGAAAAATTAATATTAAATAACGAATATCACCATGTTACACGTTATACACAATGTATTATTAAACACTGTATATCTATGCTTTGAAATGTTGAGTTGTATGTTGTTACCCAAATCCGAATGTGAGAGACTGTCGAGAGATTCCCGTGTGATTAATTGACATCGGACATGTAATAAAAATATACGAGAAGACATTTCTCACGAATTTTCCTATTATTTTATTATTAACCTTATTCTAACATTTTGTTTCTCTCTTCCTTAAAAGGACATCAAAAAAATTACATATAAAGACTAGATTTAGATTTTTAATTATACAAATCCATATATTCATTTAAAGGTTTCTAATAGATTAAATTTACCTAACCAACCTTAAAATTACTTCAAATTATACTTAAAATTATAATCCATATTAATTTACATAACCGATGCCCCCATGGAGCTATGACTCTTAGAGTTAAAATATCATTTTCAGTAAGTTATACTTTTTCATGTAATTTATATGTGTGTTTTTATATTTTTCGAATTTCATTCCTTTTCTTGTAACAATATAATTAAGCCTGTAAAAAATACAGCGATTTAACAAAATAATAGTGTATCTTACGTCAGCGGGAACCTCAAATATAAGCATCAAGACAAACCATTTTTATAATATATACAAGCTTTTTTAATTTCACATGGATATGAAGAGTACGTAAAATTTTTATTATACACACAAATAATCTCTCATAATTGAAAAATTGCATTTTCATCAAGTCACTTCTTTCAACAGTATTTGTATTGCGAAACCTTAGAAATTACTTTATGTAATATAAACGATATTAAAAATTTGTACTGTCAATTATTAAAAATACATGAGGTGATCAGCGATCGACAAAACGAAGAATGAAATTGCGATGCTGATCAAAGGTTCGTCTACGCGAGTCGGTAGACGGAGACACAGCGTGTAGACGTAAGAGATTAACGCGTGAGAGCGAGGCAGAGCAACAATCAGGCCTATAACGATTCTAGCCGATTACGCGTATGCGGCATGAGAAACATTTTTGAACAGTGCCGAGCGAGTGTCCAATCCTGTCGGCTGACTTCTTAGCCAAAACGAGACGCCGACTAGCAGCGGTCTTCGAACAACCCGAATGCTCCAAGTCAACAAGGCTCAACGTTGGCATCGTCGACGTCGAATGAATATAATCATCACAAGCTCATGGTTCGTAAGTTGTTGTCATCCGTGTTGTACTGCAAGAGAAATTAGTTCGCGTATTTCAGTTGTTTCTCTGGCCGTGATTTGTTTACGCCGTGCCGAATAGCAAAGGAACTATGCACGGAACCGCACCAACGAAGCAGCAATTTGTTTCGCATCGGAAATCAATTAACGAAAAGGGTTCATTTATCGATATGTGATTGCCTACGGTAACATGAAAATTAATTATGCACGACAATAAGACGATAGTGATAACGTTGAAACAAATTGCGAAACTAGGATAAGCAATAAATTGATTCTAAGATGGTTTTTTTATTCCAATTGATTGATCTTATAAGATTCATTCAAACTTCGAAACTCAGCATTCTTAAATTTTTTTTGTCAAAAAAGCTTTCTTTGAATTATTATTTAAACTCCAACTTATTTCATTATTCTTTAAGACTCGGAAGATTAGCTTCCTAATATCATATAGAGACAAAACTAGGTCCTTGAGATGAGTTAATATAGCCCTGTATATGGTTATAAGTGTGCTATCTTATAATAGGGGTGACCGACGTTAGCTACTGGTCCTAGTAGACGTATAACGGCTTAGATCGTTACAATCGACAGGTAACCTAGTAATTATATACTGATAATGGAATTACCATCTAAGCCGCTGTAATTTTTTAACACTTTGTTAAAAAAACTGCTGGAAAACGATCGCAAGAAATACAACTGTATTGCAGCGATATCAAGTGTTTGATAAACGTAAGTTTCAACGTCAATTTAGAACCCTATAGTACAAGCTCTGAAGAATGCTCCGACAGCCACAGCTATAGTCGCCAAGCAATCTGAGCACTAAAGTAGCTGTAACTTTAAACGTCGGTACACAAATGATTTTTAAAAGAGAATCTGAAGGATGTAGCCTGACGCTTGTTAATATTGTGTTTGATCTCATGAAATGATATTGAAATGATTGAGCAGCATTCTTTTCATTATCGAAAAATTGTCTTACTATCGACGAAGTGATTGAGATTTTAGAAAAAAGATTTGAGTGGCGCGGTGGCAAACAGAACATGTAAATAAATACGCTGTCGCGTAATGGAGTTATTTGAAGAAAAGTATTATAAAATTCTTAGCACGTTGGCTGAGGTCTTGTTTTCAGTGCCACAAGCCAACGTGCCGCTCATATTTTCTTTTATGGCTGAGGTCTCGCACAGTTCTCCTTCCACTTTGTTAAACTCCCTCGTTCTTTTAAGTACTACAGCCTTAATCGATATCTCTATCAAAGGACAAATTTCACCCTCCGCCAGGAATAATTTTGAGGCGACGTCGTGGCTTTTTTGGTTTGAGGAGAGCCGAGCAGAGAGAGAGAGAGAGAGAGAGAGAGAGAGAGAGAGAGAGAGCAGGGCATTCGTATGCCTCGCCGACTTCGTATGTATAGCTTGTATCCATATACAGAGAGAGAGAGAGAGAGAGAACCTGAAAGTTTGTTGCCAGAAGCACGAGCGCATGACAGCTTGATCGTTCCGCCGCCCGCACTCCTCTGTACGTGCGCGCGTTTAGGGAGACCAAACAGAAAGGACGAGCAGCCAAGTACGGAGGGGAAAAAGGGGAGAGAGATTCGGCCTCTTTTATGGCTCGTCATTATGCCGCCAAACTTGGTAAGGGATTTTATATCAATTTTTATGGGATATTCACTATAGTGCCGAGGAACAGCCCAATAACCGCATTTACGAGAAAATCAAGTAGAAATAGACATGTCAGAGATGACGAACAGTCGAGGAATCATGCAGAACGAACGAAGCGAACGATACTTCAATGAGAAGCGTGTAGCTCTCTTTTAAGTAGAACAATGGACGTACGATCAGACGCCATGAATAACGAGATATAATGAGATATAATGCTGTAAGCGAAGCCATTGTATGTGCAGAGGGGACAAGCGGTTATCAATATCGCCGTTAGATCAGAAATATAGCATATGCATAGAGAGCAAAGTGAGACATAGCGAAGTGCCCAAGAGGTTGTTGTGCTGTAGCGGCGAGCCGATGCTACATTGTCAGCTAACAAGTATAGACGGTTGCGCATATCAGTGGTGCGCTCGGCGTTCCAACTTGGCGCGGCGTCGAACTCAAGAGACGGGTTGGCGATCACGTATGTACATAATACATATGATGATATCCATCCGCGACATTTCGACAAGAAAGAGGTTCGAATTGATTAATCGAGACGCTGCGATTGCCACGGGTCGTATGTATAACGACGTCAGGAAATGATAATGTTTGAAGAGATTAGCTGTAAGTGTAGAGCAGTAGCTGCTCTATTAGCATCCGTCACGGAAAATTGATCAGACCTTGTGATGGGGGGGGGGGGGGGGGGAGTTTGCGTCGGCGCGCAAGCTTTGGCTTTCGATTATCGGAGCGCATTATTACGGCCAGGCACACAACTAACACCGAATCGAGGTGGTTGGATTTAGCGGCGCAGAGAAAAATCAAAAGTACGCACAGAAACGAATAACAAAGGTCCGGTTGAATGAAACGAAAGTCGAGCGGCGTCGGCGATCCATCAAAAAGTCATAAGCCGGCAAATAGCAATCGAGGATCGAGGTTGTAGAAGCGAGAGGGGCGTAAAAACGGAAGCGGCACTTTGGTAAAGCTTTGCACAGGTGCTGGGAAAAGTTGGCCGTGGGTACAGTAGGTTTGCTTGTACACACGAGCGCAGTGAGCCACCTACTCGGCGGCTGCTGAAAGCGAGCTAATAAAGCGAACAAGCGCCTTGCGGAAGATGAAGGCGCCCGGGTACTTGACTTGAGTTTGTCGGCTAGAAACGGGGAGTGCTGCTCGCTCTCGCCCGGAGGCAGCGCCAGACTGGATGTAGCAGCAGGGCTTGCCGCCAGTAAGTGCGCACGGATTTAACTCGCGATGCGTCACAATAGCCGGTAACTACAGCCTCCTGCGGTCCTCCGCGCCCCATCAACAATTCAAGGTATAATCCGCCACGCGACCCAAGCTCCATTTCTGCGAGCACACTTGCGTTCGTTCTTTTCCGTCGCGGAAGAACGCTACGCTTTGTCCGGCATACACCTGCCCACTGTTAAATACAGCCTTAGCCCGTTCCACCTAATTATTCAGGCAGGCCGCTCATCGGTTTTGCTCTCTCTCTCTCTCTCTTTCCTCTGCTCGCTGCCGAGCTTACGACGATTAAGCAGCAGCTACTCGGCTCAACAATCTCAGCCTTCGGTGAATAATTGAAGGAGAGATCAGCCCACGGAGTTTACTAGCTCTGCAGCTTCTTCTAATTTCTCAGCGCTTAATCATCAACGAGAAAACAACAACGTTAGCCCCGTTTGGTCGACTTTCCGAATGCAATCCTTTAAAAGTCGCACGTAACCGCTGTACAGCGCAGCTCGAGCTTTCTTCTTCTCTTTTTTCATTCTGATAATACACACGAGCGTCTTGTTGCCGCTAGACCGCAGCACTCACGCGAGCTGATCTCTGGTTACAGTCTCGTGCTCTTGCCTTTTCTGCCAACAAAAAACTTCAAAGGGAATCAGGAACAAAAGCATCGGACCCATTTAATGAAGACTGCCAGAGCTCCGGAGCCGGCAGAGTCGACGCTTCGCGGCCGGTCGATTTTTCATCAGCGTCCTAGCCGCGTGAAGCTTCGGCGATTTCGCACAATATCGGCGCGCGGTAAAAGCAGATGTAGATAATCACTGAGAGCACTGGCCCGTCGCCTCTTCCAACCAAGCCCTCGGCAAGCCTGTCCTTTCACTTGTGCGGCAGCGGCCGAATCATTGCGTCGACCCATTGTCTCTGACGAGACGACCGAGAGGAAAGTGTCCACTGCGAGATATGCCGCGTTCATCAATTGGCAACAAATTGAAAAGAAAACAAACAGTAGCGAATCTACCGACCAGCAATCTGAATGCCGGTGCTTTATTCTTAAACCATCTTCTTCATTTTCTTGACTCATTTTAATCTAACTCAAGCCTATCTCTAGGCGATA